TATTTCCAAAAGTTTTATTTTCTTGTCTTCAGCCTTTGTCTAGTGGGTGCAGTATCATTAAAATAGGATTCCCTGACAATATAGTCACCAGCATTGACAGAGAACACGTTATACATCTCTCAAGAAACACAGGCTGTCAACTCCTCTGCTTTGGGAGATTGAGGCAGAGGATGCAAATGAGAAAGGCTACTCTTACAGAAATGTCATTTACCTACTCTCACAAAAGCCTTGCATTTGCACAGAAGAGAGGTTGATCTGTGTTTCTCAGACCTTTCCCTCCAAAATTGCTTCTCCATGGTGTTATATTATGACTCTTAGCTTGTTGCCATCTACAGCAGTATACTCCCAGTTTTGTTGCATCTCCACTTATTAATCTTGTTTTGGATTATTCCCAGGCCACAGAATTTTCAAAAACATTCACTTTATCGCTTGCAGTGGAATTTATCTCCTATAGTTTTAGCTATATAAAAGTTAGGTGTCTCATTTGAGCTATCTTTCTAGGTGTCCTCTCTATGCAGTAGAAAGAAGTGGGCTCCTCTAGAAGGTAATTCATCCCAGCTTAAAGTGTCTCAGGTTCGTGGGATGAACTGTCAGCTGAAGGTGCCTCTTTACATCCTTCCCTCTCCTAGAGAGGAGAGGGTTGATAAAGCCTGTTCTAGACACACAACTTCTGAAGAGACAAAGCTAGGTGACATGTTTATGCATGCTGGTAAAGTTCAAAACACAAGTGAGAGTACATAATATCCTTGCTTTGCTGTAGCCTACGTCATGACCAACCTTTTACAAAAAAACTAAAGTTCAGTCCACAGTCGAGTTAATGCTCAGTGCTATTGCTACCGGTCATTCAGAGCAAAAAAGGAAAATATCTGTGAATCCTTATTTTACATGTGGTGTTTTGGGAGATTAAATTAACTTGTCCACTTCTTCATGGAAGGCTTTAGAAAGTCATAACAGCAGTGACAGTAAACTGCATGGTACAAAATATGTGCTGATGCACCAGAAAGTTCAGTGCACTAGTCTTGTATCATAGCAACTGCAGCAAACACTACCTTCATTTTGCGAAAGGTAGAAAATCACATTAGTAAGCCAGCTCAGTGACAAGATAAACATATTTCAGAGGGTAAGAGTTTATTACAGTGCTGCATTTTCCACCGTTGACTACAATGACTACAAATAAATATGTCTTCTGTTACATTTCCAGGTAGTATACACATGAGTGATTTAATAATAAAATTTAGTATTGAAGGAATTATAATATCATATCTTATAGGCTGCCCACATTCATCTCAGAACCATCTCTGAAGCACTAGTCATTTATACTTTCTGTATTTTGCACTGTCTAATGTGATACAGCATTTCATCGATGCCAAAAGCCATTATTCAAATGCTATGTACCACATGGGAATATACAGCATATAACAGTGTTAAGACTGAGAACCTTAAAGATGGATAAAAACATAAATAATATTAAATGTGGTTAGGTTTTAGAAAAGATAATGTGCCCTCATTAAAAGACACTTCAAAAAAGGAAAAAAAAAATCATAAGCCAGATCCAAAATGAGATATATTGGGTACTTTCACAAGTAACACGAACTTTTTTAATGTGTGACATTCATGTCAATTCATACTTAGCCATCAGTTTCCTGAATCTGCCCTAAGACCCTGGAGATGAAGATCAACATTTAATTCTGTTTCTCCATATTTGTTTGCTATTTCATTCTATTTCAATTTTTGGTACTTCATTTCATGCTCATTTTTCTCTGTAAGAAGATTTCCATTTTCTAAATTCTGAAATAATTTAGCTGAGTCACAAAATATAATCATGTTCTCTACAGCTGAAGTTTTCAGGCAAAAATGACTGTGATCATGTTTCCTTTCTATTATAGCTTCTCTGTGGTGTTTCACATTCATCACACCTCACTCACCAGTGGATTATTAGCAGGTTCTGGGAACACTCACGGTCATCTTGTAAGATATATAGAAGATTATTTTGACACCTCCACTACTGACCTTTCAGAGTCACCACTATATTTGTCTGCATTTTTTTTTTCTCTTATAATAGGTGCTCAAGATGTTTTCTAAATTTGGGGTCTTTCATACCCAAATATTCAGTATGCCCATAAAAAACAGGAATATCCAAAACCTCTTTCTTTCCTGTATGGCATTTTTTTATAAGGACTGTTAGAGAAACTGATTCCTACCTGGAACAATGTTTTGCACCAGCCTTTTGAAATACATAGTAAAAATGGAAACCTCCAGCAAAACAGACCGTATCAGCCACCCTTTTAGCTATTAAGATCATTGTTCTCCGCTTGTTTTAGTGCATTGTCCAGAGTTGTTTTAACTTGTTCATGTAGCTAAATCTTTTATCTTTCAGTACTTACTGTTTCCACCTTTTCAGTCCTCTTTCCCCGTGTCCAGATTGTATAGTCGCTATCAGTTGAGTTAATACAATTTTTGGATAATGAAGATGTCTTATTTATAATTTGGAAAAAATTCTTGATGATTCATATTCATTTCTCCTTTAAACTAGCAAATGTCTGACAAGCAAATCTGGTAAAATTAGGTATGCATCACCTTGAAACTGAAAACCCATTCTTGGGTGTCGGCAGCAAATTCTCACTGCAATTTTTGTTCTCATTCCTCCTACCTCTCATCGAAACAGTATTCTTTGTCAAACTGTACCTAAGAGACTTAATATAGGCTTTTAATACACTGGCTAAGATTCATCTTTCATTTTCATTTTATCTTTCATTTACTTTTCTCTTTTTCATGCATCCTACAGTGTTTATGACAGGTCAGGCTGCTTATCAATGCCTGACATCATTTTCCTTTTTAAAACCACATTTTAGCTACTTATAACTGTGGCAAAATCTGCTTTTTTTTCTTGATGGATGTCAGCCTTAGGTCAATTTCTTTAAAAGAAAATGTCAGCAAATGCAGTTCAGCTATCTGGGATACTGAGGCTAAGAGGAAAATGCCTTGTTTTGACAAGTTCTGGCAACCTTTTCTTTGAGAAACCCCTGGATCCCAAGAGGAACTGAAGAAGAACCTTGAAATTCAGCAAGACATAATCTGCACATTAAGGATGCGCTGTTTCTAAGAGAAATCCTCTCAAAGCTCGATAATTTATAAATCTCTTCAAAAATCACTGTTTGCGTATGCCTGACAGAGATTTTTTTCAGCTAACTGGCCAAAGGTTCCTCCCTACCCAGCAGCTCAGCTCAGCCTGCTCTGTGTTGCCTAGGTCTGGGTTCAAATCAGCAAACGGAGAGCAAGCAAACAGCCCGGGAGCCACTACTCTCATTGCGAATGTACATAACGACAGTTTTTGATAACACTACCACATACTATTTTTTCTCTAGAAACGCTTCATTAGTTTAGTGCTTATAAGAGGTCTGCTCTAGGGAGGAATCTGAATTTTGCATGAAAGCAAGCTGCCTTCTGTCATTTTTCAAAGTTGAAAGACTTCTGTCACAAAAGGGACTATTATGAAGGATGATTGAAGCCCCTGGTGTACCAAACTCCCGGCGACCTGCAAAGTAGTAGGTGACTGCTTTAACCAACATTTTTAATAAGCCAGACACCAATAAAGAGCTAATTTTCTTTAGAGCTTAGCATCTGACTTGCAAAGATGTAATGCATGCAAATGTGTGCTTTGAACCTATAGTTTTCTGCAGGGCTATCTTAAAATTTAGGTTACCAGCAACTCAAACTGCATGTCAAAAACCAGCAGCTGTTTTTGGCCTTACTGTTGTACCTCAGCTTTCCATCTGTTAAACCGACACAACACATGCACAAATGAGTTTGAAAACAGCCTCTGATAACTGTGGATACTCAGACACTGTTCTAAAAAGCACCTTAAAAGAACCCCTTTCTCTTTAGAAAAATGTTCAAATTGCATACAATAAATAAAATAAGGGGCCGCACATGATAAATAACAAGGAATACACAAAATGTTGAATAACTGCTTGAAAACTGAACACCCTCCATCTACATATTATATAAAGTAAGGACTCTAGAGATTGGGGGATGCTGTTGACCAAACCATGATTGCCTGAACATGTATGTTCACAAGAAATCTGAATTAAGGTAACACAGGCAACGCTTTTGTTACTTCTGAGTGCTTTTAGAACCTCAGTAAGTTCTTTTCACACAGCATGAGTAATGTTCAGCTTTATCAACTTTATAATTCTGCTAATTATTCTATCACTTCAGTCATATACAGGGTTGAATCTCAGCAGGGAAGTTGTACTGCATGGAGCCGGAATGCTCCTTCACCTTGGGAGCTAGAAAACGCGTGCCCAACCGTGTGACAGGCACCAAGGGCTGGCTTCCTTCCCATCCCCTGGTTAGATTTATGGCCACTGTGTTACAACCTTCATCCAGAAATATACCTCATACTCTTCGAGGTTGCCCAGGCTCTTCGCAGTAACATGACCAATATTCTCTCCACTTAGAAGATCTGTGTTTTATTTTGATGTACTAGGTGTGCCTATGAGATTATTTGCACTAGCTAAA